CGGACTAGATGATCTGCTCAGGTCCCTTCCGACCCTAGAAACTATGAAACTATGAAACCATTCTTGACCCATGTTTATCCAATCTCTTCCTGAACACCTCCAAGGATGGAGATTCAACAACTTTCCTAGGCAGCATTTCACTGCCTCACTGTTCTAACAGGGAAGTTTTTCCTCGTATCCAACCTAAAAGTGCTCTGTTGCAACTTCATGCCATTGGTCCATGTTTGGCTTTCTGCAGCAAGAGAAAAAGGGTATTCTCCCTCTTCTTTATGGCAGCCCTTTATGTATTTGAAGACTTACTATGTGCCCTCTTAAGTGCTTTTTGCACGAGCTGAACATGCCCATTTCCGTTAACCTCTCTTCATATGACTTGTTTTCCAAGCCCTTTGTCATTTTTGTCACCAGTCTCTGGACAAACTCAACTTCTTCATGTCCTTTTTAAAATATGAAGCCCGAAGCAGCAAACAATACTCTAAATGAGGCCTAATCAGGGCTGAGTAAAGAACCACTATCGCCTCCCATGACTTGCACCTAATTCTCCTATGGATGCAGCCCAAAATCACATTCACTTTTTGTGCAGCTACATCCCACTGCAGACACCTGTTGAGGCTGTGATCCACCCAGATGCCTAGATCCTTCTCTGTGGTGCTGCCATCCCTCCAGGTGTCACCCACCTGTATTTGTATTTGTACGTTTTATTATTCCTCCCAGGGGTGTAGCACCTGGCATTTGTCAGCATTGAACTTTGTCTTGTTAGCTCCAAATCATTAATAAACACTTTGAACAGCACCAGACCCAAGACAGACCATCAAGAGTGAAGAGAAGGATGGACAGGACAGCAGCAGGTCCTACTGAGGGTAGAGGGACCAAGGAGCCTCAAACAAAACAGGCTTCTCTGGCTGTAAAGCGGTGTGCTATTATTTGTCTTTTTTTGGTCTCACTTTCATCTCCACCGTATTCCCTTTCATTCTGCTCCTTTCTATTTTTTCTCCATTTCTTTGTGGTGAACTGCAGGAGCTTCTGGCTTCCTCTGTAACATGGAGCACGATCCTTTTCTTTCCTAGGATCTTTTGGGCATATATTAACCAATCAATTCCCTGTCATTGCTGTGGCAGGTCCTTGGCAGCCCATTGTAGGGTGTTCTCCTGTTTCAGAGGTAACTCCTTGTCATTGTGGGTGAGAGTCTGAAGAGGTGATTTGGGGGATTCCTTTGATTAATGATTGCCTGTGAAGACCCAGGACTAAATAACCCAGGATCCCCCTTCTAGTTGTTTCTCCCCCTTCTCTTTCTCCATCTCTCTCTCCCTGCTCTCATCTGCCTCCATGTTCTGCTCCCTTCCTTCCCAGACATCTCTCCTTTCCCCTTAAATCACTTGGTAACTGCAAATATTTGCATGCCCTAATTCATCTGCCCAAATTGGGAGGACATTTGCATGCTCACAGACTTTGGAGGAACAAGAAAGATTTATGCATGTGCTGGATGTTCACAATCAGACCCTGAGATGCTTGTCTACTAAGCACCACTAGTATTCATCAGAATGAGGCACTTGGAGTGCATTAGGAAAATGGCTGGGTAATAAACTCAAATCTATTAGTGGGATGGCTCAAGGTATCAGAAAGCATCACTTGAATGAAAGTTAATGGGACAATTTCCTTCTAACCATATCACCTGCCGCTACAGAGTGATTTCTCAATCTATTTAGCATGTCTCACTCTTTTCATATTTCTTGCATTCCTCTCCTTCTGGACAAAAAGCTGTTTTTGCCACATGTCTGGAAAGTCCAGAGCAGCAGCTGGAAACAGACTGAGTAATGAAGTCCTCAGATCCTACGAGCTGTGATGTTCACAGGCTTAGAGAAAGGCTTTCGGAGACAGCAGAGGCCCTGCAAAGCAGCAATGATACAAACAGAGGGCCTGGAGACTCGTGCTAAGTTTGAGCGGAGTGATGGAGTTTCTATGTAAATTCGGTCGCTCTGAGCCACGGTAAAAATGGTTTTAACACTATCTGTGAACATTACTTATGAGCCATGATGAATTTCCTTCAGTGAGTTTAGGTCTTCCAAGCTGAAAGAATAATGTCCATGTTTAGCTAGATTATACAAGATGCTTTTCCTGCTGCAGGCAGTTTATGAAATCCAAATGGAAGTGCTGTGAAAATCAACAGGGGAAATGACTGGAACAGAATTGTGCCCCCAGCAAATTTACCACACCTGTCAGGAAATTAAGAGCGGGCCTGATAAAAGAGAATTCATTTCTGAAGATGTTAAGACAGCCATTTCATGGAAGAACAATGAAGGATTTTTAGCACAATTAGCAGTGGGACCAACTGGGCCCTCGGCTCCAGAATCCTTCCAGAAGGGGCTGACCTTCTGCTTCTGGCTTGGATGGACTTTCTGTCTGCTTAGAAAGCCCCAGTTTCAATTCATTCTGCATCTCAGCAGCTCCGCTTTTGCCCACCTCCAACTAAAAGAGCACGTGCATACGCACACACAAACTGCAATTTCTGCACCTTGGGGAGCAGTAGTGTGGGATGGAGGTGGCTGCTGGGCCAGCAGCTGGTGTCCTCTCTACATTGGCACCTAGGGCTGGTGTCCTACTTACCCCCCATAATTATGCTACTGCACACACACACAAACACTCCCCATCCTTCCAGCCTGGTGTCCCTTATGCCTCCAGTAGTCACACTTCCTTCATACTGTACCTCCACGTTTTTAAGCTCCCCAACATCTGCTCCCCAAACAGAGAACTTCTCTACGGAGCCATCTGCGAACTCATCCTTGTCTTCCGTAAGATCCAGCCACAGCCTGTCTGTTTGCACTTTCTGCGGCCCCATAATGATGATGTAAACTCGGCTGTCAGTGCTCGCGCCGGGCTCTATGCCAGTCGTGAGTGTGACATGATATGGAATCACTGCAACAGAGAGAGGGCTGTTAATCAGAAAGCATGAACCAAGATATCCCAGGTCACCACCACTGCAGATAACAAGGGTCCAATCCTGCAAGGGGCAGATTGGTGCCTGATGGATACTGAGTAAAATCAACTCCCACTGAAGAGCCGAGGGTACACAGCTTCATGCAGGATTGGGCTTGAATGTGGGCAGCAAAATCTACCTCTTCCAGCAACCCCATTCACTTCCGTGCAGCTCTAAAGGCTATAACCCAGTGCAGAATTGTCCCAAATATATAAGGAGTCTGATTCCTATTCATATCACAAAACAGTGGAAATAAGAATCCGGCCCTAAATAATAAATAGGCTATTATACCAGAGATCACAGGCTCACAGTTGAATGATGCCGTATAAATCTCTCCTGACTCTAAGGCAAACAGTGTTCTCCCTTGTTCTTTATTCAAGGATCACGCTGATCTATGAAGTCCTTTTATGGACCCAGTGACCTTTTATAGCATCAAGGCAAAATATAAACTATAAAACCAATATTAAAGGTTGGTCTGGGAATACTATATATACACGGTATTTGCTATATATATTAAGAAGAAGGTTTTGGACCCTGCTTAGATAGTTTTATAGTGGCTTTAAAAAAATTCAGTTCAGCTGCTAGATAGGAAGAACCACTTATCCAATGCAAGACTGCTTCTCAAGTGTTTTCCAGGAGTCCATCTGGGTAGGCCTGATGGACAGTGAAGAATTCAGTGATGCATATGCATTTGCTTTCTCAGAACATTTCATGCAGAGCTATGCAAAATGTTCACAACAAAACTCTGAAACCCACTTCAGCACAAACTCCAAACTCAACCTATATTCATCTCATTGCAGTTCTATTCCCTTTATAATAAGTTCACAAACTTTTTGAATAAAACCTGGCCTATTTTCAAGTCACCTGGGATTGATTTAGGGTTTTGCTTTGTGATGGCTGAGGTAGTTTTGATTTTAGGTTCTACTCAAAACTTACAGCAAAACTCAGGGGGTATGAATTCATGCAAATCAAATCTGCTCTTATCTCTGTGAACTGAGACCAATGGGTTTCACACAGCCCTAATTTTAGGCTTCTCCAATTGAATTTAACAGCACAGAAGTGAATTAAGCGTTAGGGAAGAATTATTCTCCACTATCTGGTACAACTTATGCTTAATTGTGCACATCAATGTAATGAACGTGCCATGAATTCATTGCCATGTTATCATTCCAGCAGTGGTGCTTCTTCACAGTAATGGTTATGTGGTGTGCTACATGCATTTTAATAGGGTCAACAAGATGAGATGTCAAACTGGAGGACTGGGCCAAAAGAAAGCTCATGAGGTTCAACAAGGACAAGTACAAAGTCCTGCACTTAGGACAGAACAATCCATGCATCGGTGCAGGCTGAGGGCTGACTGACTGGGCAGCAGCTCTGCAGAAAAGGACCTGGGGGTGACAGTGGACACTAAGCTGAATACGAGCCAGCAGCGTGCCCTTGTTGCCAAGAAGGCTAATGGCGTACTTGGCTGCACTGATAGGAGTGTTGCCAGTAGGTCAAGGGAAGTGTTTCTTTCCCTCTATCCAGCACTGGTGAAGCCACATCTGGAGTAGTGTGTCCAGTTTTGAGCCCCCATTACAGAAAGGATGTGGACAAACTGGAAAGAGTCCAGTGAAGCAGTGGCAACGCATAGGGGGTGCATGGGGGTGCATGTGCACCCCCTGAGAGTGCCGTTGCACCCCCTGACCGGCTGTGCTTGGATCAGCCACAAGGGCTCCCCCCAGGCCGTGAGATTGGGTGCAGGGCCCCCACTCCCAGTTGGCGGGACTGATCGTGGGGGGGGCCTGTGCCCCCCCACCCCCCACTAAGGCTGCACCAGTCGCCCATGCAGTGGAGAGCAATAAAAATGGTTTGAGGGCTGGGGGACATGACTTATGAGGAGAGGCTGAGGAAACTGGGCTTATTTACTTTGGAGAAGAGAAGACTGGGAGGGGATTTAATAGCAGCCTTCAACTCCCTGAAGAAGGGTTGCAAAGAGGAGGGAGCTGGATTGTCCTCAATGGCGACAGATGACAGAGCAAGGAGAAATGGGCTCAAGTTGCAGAAAGAGAAGTTTAGGTTACATAGTAGGAAGAAGTTTCTCACTAGGAGGGGAGTAAACACTGGAACAGGTTACTCAGAGAGGTGGTACAATCTCCATCCTTGGAGGTTTTTGAGACCCAGCTGGACAAGGCTTTGGCTGGGATGATCTAGTTGGGGCTGATCCTGCTTTGAGCAGGGGGTTGGACTGGATGTGACCTCCTGATGTCCCTCCCAACCCTAACTTTCTATGATTTGGAAAAGGCTGCCGCTCCCAACTTCACTGAAGAGTATTCTGAGCAAGGAAAAAAGTTAGTTTCTGTTAAAGGGTTTCTTATTCTATCCCATTGTGGCAGGTTAAATTACTGCCAATAACAGACAGATTTCTCATGGCTTTTTTGATCCAAAGATCTCAAATCCCTTTACAAGCATGAAGTCCCAGAGTACACACATGAACTCAAAAACTCCTATCACTCCATCTATGGGTAAACTGAGGCCCTGAGAGCTCAGGTGACTTGTTTTGGGGCACTCAGTGAGTCATCAGAGGAACCTTGGTTTGCAATCTAGTGCTCTAACAACCACCAAATCTTACCTTTCCTTATTTAGCTTCCCTCTGCACTACTGCACAACCTCCCTTGCTCATTGAACCTCTGGAAGTCCTATAAACATTGCGAGCTTGCCTGACCAATCTCATTTCCTTTTATGACCAGGTGACTTACCACCTGGACAAGGGGGAAGAGATCAAGGTTGTATATCTTGACTTTAAAAAAGTCTTCGATCTGGTATCCCATGATCACCTCTTGGCTAAACTGGCTAACTGAGGCCTCGACCTCACCACGATTTACTGGCTGGGGAATTGGCACCAGAGGGTGGTGGTCAACGGGAGCCAATCGTCTTGGTGCGCTGTGACCAGTGGGGTCCCCCAAGGCTCTATCCTAGGGCCTATACTGTTTAACATCTTCTTCAATGATGTGGACATTGGTGTCAGAAGCGGATTTGGTGCCA